TATATATATGGGGTGCAACGATTTTGTAGCAGTCATGGTGAAATGTAAAGTGTCCAGATGCACAGAACGAGTAAATCACTACAACTTTTCATAAAAAAAAAAAACTCAAAAGCTTTATGAAGCAAAAGAGACAGAAACTGAAAACAAATAACTTAGTGACCTTTTTTAATACAATCAAACACCCAAGTCTCATTATCAACTATTTGAAACATTTAATTGCATCTATTTCATTCATGCCATGTAATGTGAATGTAATGAGAGTGAACAGGGACACACACACACAAACACACCMTTTGTCTAACTTAATTACTACCATCTGGGGGCTGCAGCAAGGAAACAGGTGGTTTTAAACACCAAAAGGGGGGATACKCCGCCGGTGACAGCAATTCAGAGTAATTTTAGCAACATAAATCCATCGAGTTTTTAGATCAGTTCAACTAATTCCAACAAAGACAATCATAAAATCAAACAACTGATGAGAATGACCACTAACCCTGCCGAGCCTCGTGTTATTAGTGTGTTTGTGCAGTTGTTCAGCTTATATCATAACCTACAGTATATTACATGGTCACTGTCATCCTGAGTAAAAGGTCAGAGAGCAGAGTGAGGATCCTCGGTGCGAGAGTCAGAACAACAGTCATCCCGCTGGAAAACATCAAATTTCATTCCTATATTCACAACAATCACTACACTCTGGCATTGTTATACAGAAGATGTATTACTAAAACCAAATCTACTATTCCAAAGAATTTCTGCACAGACAGAAATGTAGTTAACATAAACAGCACTGTCCAAATAATTCATATAATGAAAGCAATAGAATGCTAAATGTAATAAAAAATAAAAACTTTGCACAAAAGTTAGGAAATTTGTGTTTAGTAGATTATTTCTTGGCTTCTTGGCAGTAAATCATATATCATCATATACAGTTGGAAAGCCCTTTAATTTCGCTTAAGGAAATTAAGGAACATGCATTTGTGGGATAAGCAGTAGAGCTGATTACATGGGTTGTGCACATGAAAAATTTGCCAAACTATCATTGCCAAAAAACTTCTTTTGTTGTTGCTATTGACTCTTGTTTTGAGCCTCTGGTACCTCCAGGTGCTGCCAGTCAGGTTCCCACTATAAGACTTATTGCCAAGAAGCAAAGTTCCTTACTTTGTGTGAACTATATATGTATATAAGTGCACTTACATGTCATATACTTATTGCTTTGAGTGTTTTCTGGGTGAAGTTGACCCTGTCAGTGAGTGACAGTGAGACATGTGAATGGGTGACAGTTTAGGACCTTACCGGGGGGACACAGGCAGCCGTGGAGAACTTCTCTCACCTCCCGGGACTTCGGCAGCCGTGCTGCAAGCTTCTGCACAGGAAATGAAATAAACACTTTCAGAAAATACTGATGCTTTCAACATCATATCGCACTGTGCATAAATCTGTTCCACAGCAAGTGTACTCATCTCTGTAAATAAGTTTGATTCTGAGATTTAACCAAAACAAACAGCAGGAAGCCTGAGGAAATAAAACCTGTATTAGGAATTCATTTTAGTAAAAGTAAATCAGTTTGGAATGACAAGGTGCTTCTGCTTCACACTCATCCATTTACTGACTTAAAATAAAGCTATTACCCTGACCATATATATTACCCTGACCATATATTACAGTCCACTTCCACATTGATGTCATTTTAACTCTTCTAATTAACATTTTATGAAATAACTGAAGGAAATAATCAGTTACACAGTTACAAAGCTGTAAACTATAAATTAGCCGAAAAAAAAGTAAGAAAATTAGAGAACACACCAACTGCTACAGCTGCACATGGTGTTACAACAAAAAAAGAAGACAAAAAAAAAAAACACCAAAGCTCCTGTTTTTATGCTTGTGTCTATTAATTTATGCTTTTAAAATGTGTGTGGTTGAAAACTGTCCCCTCTGTTTTATCTTTACTTAAGAATTTTCTGTCATTATGTTTTCTGGTTCATTTTATTTCTTGATATAAACATTTATTCCAGTTATTTTGCTGCACAGATCGTTCTTTTTTTCACCAAGAAATGCAATATATTTACAGTGTATACAGTCCTTGATGACCTTTGTTCCGTGGCAGAGCCTCATCATTATTCATCAGTGGTTGCTGTTGTTTGCTTTATTTTGTTTTCTGCTCCAAGACAAGATAAGTCTGCTTCAGCCTCACCCGCTTTWATGCTCTAAACATCTGTTTTGGATGAAGTGACTGTGCAGCTGTTTTGGTTTTTCTTAATTAAAAGTTTACCATGTCTCTTTATCATCTGCTCCATTCATCATACGTTTTAAGTTTAACCGCAGAACGTGACAAAATATTTCTCTTTTTCCTCCTTTTGAAGATCTGGTGTGTGTCTATACATATTTATTAGAGCTAGCTTGCATCTAAGTGTCCATGCTAAGTGGCTATTATTCAGGACCATCATGCACCCATCAGTCCATCCATTTATTATATTTTAACCACTTCTTCCTTTTTTGGGTCAGGGTTAGCTGGTGTCTATATCCAGCAGTCAGTGTGTGAGAGGCGGGGTGCACCCTGGACAGGTCACAAGTCATTCAGAGGGCCAAATAGAGACAACCATTCACGCTCTCACACCACACTGAGGGACAATTTAGAGTTATGGACAGGGGAGAATGAGGTTGCCTGAATTTCAGCCACATTTTGCTTCAGCACTCAAAATGATTTGACCATTTAAGGGATAGTCCACTCAACTTTGAAGTTATGTTCTAACAGCTGTCAAACGTTCCTTATCAGCCATGACAACATTCATAGACCACAAAGTATTAAGAAAAAGGCAAAAGGTCTTTGTTCCGGCTATGCTATAGTTGTTTTTTAGGCAGAGAATAGATAAACTGTATATTTGTGCTGAGGTTGTTGAATCTACCTGATCAGCCTGTCTACTTAGTCAATAATCCTACCAATCCCAGCAGAGTAGGGCTGGGCAGTGTGAGCTCAAATTCTTATCATGGTATAAATCGAACCCCTTCATGGTAACGGTATATATTGCGGTAGAAAATTATCATAACAATTTAAGAAAATGTAATTTTTAGAGCTTTTTTTTTGCAGAAAACTGTAATTAAACCCAACATTTTTACTTTAATATCTGCCTGCCAAACAACGAGCTTCYGCCTGCTGAATTTATCAGCTGCTGCTCTGCTGCGCGTTCATTTTCATCATCAGAGCACAAGCCGACTTAACATTAGCAAGAAGAATTTACAACTGAACGAACGTCCACGTCTTTTTTAAATAATCTCTGTGGGTAACAATACATAAAAACCATTTTTTTTCTCTGACAATTGGGTGTGAAAAACGACAGTTGTTAAAGCTTCGCTCTGCGCGACGTGCTGCGAGAGGAGAGGAGAGGAAATGATCCCGCAACACGACGTAACTTTTCTACAGCGGGAGGAGGAAATTTTGAGGATTTCTCTCTAAACATGTTTTAAAACACTAGAATTTCTTCATTATATTTTGAACACCTGCTCATTTGTCTCTGCACTCGCAGCCCTGTTGACACAGGTGCGATGACGTAATGATGATATGACGGTAGAGTACAAATTTCTACCGTAGGCCAACTTCATAAAGTTTCTACCGTCTACCGCATATACCGCGCAGCCCTGCAGCAGAGGGATACATTCAGGAGTATACCAGCATGAACTCTGACTACCTGTCCTCAGCACAATATTAGCTAATGTACCAATACTTCACAGTATGTCATGTTTGAGAATGAGCCTTTTTTTTAAAAAACTGACTCTTGTTTGACTCACCATTAGCCTCACTCAGTCTGGTTGAGACTTTTGCTTCTTTCTCAATCTCCTTGACTCATTTCTACCAGCTCGTAAACATTGATTATTACCAAACAAAGCACCACTTTAAAGATGACTGGACTTTCCAGCCACTGTTTCAGTCTCAAGACTTTAGTTTAATAGCTACTGTTTGGATGAAAGCATTCAGCAGGAAGAGCTACTTCCATTCTCATGCTCAGATCAAAACTTGAGACTTGAAGACTCGTTTGGCAACAAGTGCTTCCTTTTAGTCTTTGTCGAGACATYAAAGTTCAGCAGTTGGCCTCATTAAACCAACAAAAGCTTGGAAGCCATTTTCCTCTGGACTAAATACCAAAAATGTTCTAGTAGGTCCTTCGGAGTATAGCTGTCAGACTCTTTGGTGCAGTGTTTCCTATCAAAGGAACACAGTGAGGGCTGTTTGAAGCTTTCAACAGGTGCTGACGGGGATGTTCTTAATGCATCGTCATTCTTAGCACTGCTGTGGGATTCTGGGCAATGCATGTTCCCTCAAAGTGACTGTTAATCCACACTGTGAGGTGATGCTCTTGGATTAAAATCAGGAATCGTTTGGAGAATAATGTGCGGCACGCCTGCTTTCCTTCAAAAAAAAAAGGAGACGATGTTGAAGCCAAGCCAGGTTAAAGAGGTTCTGATTGCACATAACTAAAGTAAAAATAAATCAAACTTATTTTACAGCTTCCTCCAAATCAGCCAAAACCGCCGTCAAGAACTGTTAAAGCGCCTGTTTCAAAAATGACTGCAACTGTCAGACAGAGGCCAAATCCAAACAGATTCACGATTCATCAAGGGATGATCCCACCAGCACTTACTGTGGTAAAGCCTTACAAAGCATGACTAAAAAGAAATGTTTGACCTTCAAACTTTTTGTGAGTTTTGTTATTCCTGTGGAGACAGAAATGGCACAACCTCAGAACGACTGCGTACAACACAGCACGTCACAGTTAAATACTGTCAGAATAAGTTTTAGGACCCCCTCACCCTTTCGCTCTCAGACACAAAATTCCTTTTGCCCACTTTAATACTCATGAAAACTTGAAGGAATTTGTTTGTGGTTGATACTGGCAGGCTCCCTGTCCAACTGGAAAAGTCTTTAGCAAGAATAATCTAAAGAGCCACGCATCCGCTCATCACCCCACTCGTTATTGTTCAACATGAAGCAACAAAACCCAGAGACACATTCTCCAAACAGATAATAAAGAGAGCGTCCTGAACTCCAGCATTCAGTTCTGGCCAAAAGAAAAAAAACAAAAAAACAAAAAGGAGCTGCAACTTTAACCACATCAAAGCTTCACAACAACAGCAGAGCCTGCAAAGAAGAAATATGATAACCAGACTTCAAGTGCCRTCATGCGCCTTTAAATCTCATCCTCACGGGCATCCTCCTTTATTCTGATGGATTTGCACCAAAAATATTAACTTTTTTTTTCCCTCTCGCACTAACCTCAAACTGTGGTTAACTCTGAAATGCAAAGCTCGCATTTTCTGTAACTGAAACCCAAGCAGGGGAGAATAACTGAAGGAATACAATAATCCAGATTTTTTACTCAAACCCACGATGAATGACTTTATTTAAATGATTCTGGAAGAAAACAAAGCGATACTTTATGAAGGAGGCCATAAGGGCCTCCACATGCTCCATCCRAACTGCAGAATCACTATCATTGTCGCAGTTGCGTGACAAAAATTGTGTCATTTTGTTCGCAGCTCCGAGTCTTCTGCCGCTTCTTGTCACATCACAGTGATTGGTCAGAAGTTTGTAGGCGTGTTTGTTTACGCTGCATTTTGCTTCAGCTACTCGCTCCCCGAATACAACTGTTGTACCCGAAAGCAGACATTTATAAAGATAGTCAAATGGCCAACAACTCATAGATGTAGAGGAAACAGACGTTGTGTATGGAGGAATCTGTCTGACAAAAACTGTGGTGCTTTTCTGAGTTTGTTTGTTTGTTTGTTTGTTTGTTTGTTTGTTTGTTTTGTTTGTTTTTGTGTTAGTTTTCATTTTTTCCACAATGAAGACTCCCAACAGGGAAAAAATCCCATCCAGTGACATGCGCCACAGTGGGAGGGGTTTCCCAGCAGCTCTCAGGGGCTATGAAAGGTGTGGGCAAAACAATCACGTGACCATGCATCGACTGCTTCAGATCTATACTGGGACTTTAAAAGACTTCTTGTGTGTGCAAGATGATAGCAATCTTTCAGAAGTAAGGAAGAGTCTCCCAAATGTCTCAAAAGGTGTGTGGAGTTCTTAAAGTGCCCGTGACATGCCTATCCTTCAAATTATAAAAGTCAAAGAAAGCATCGTTATACTTGGGAAAATTGGCATAGTACACATGATTTTACTCATTTTCTCACAAAACTGGTCTATTTTCTTTTGAATATGTCTCAGCCAAAGTGAAACAGGAAGTGACATCAAAGGGGAACTCTTAATAAAAAGTTGCTGGTCTCTGTTTATTAAAACATTTTTTTAAAACTTTACCTCTTGTCTCACTTTGATAGCAACTAAAAATAATCCAAAGAAACATCAAATTTGTTTCT